TTCGTAATAATTACGCAAACATAAACATGGGCGCATTTAAGTCATTAAAATGGATAGTAGTCGTGTGTCTACGGAAAGTCAAGAAAATATTTTAAATACTTGTGATTCATCGATGTTCCAATGGTGAATTAATTTATTCGAAATGAAGTGAATATGTAATATAAACCATACCGTGCGTCATATTAAATTTTACTATAATATAATAAACTCTTGGCAGCGCACTTCGATGCATTATTCACGTACATTTCGACTGAACTCTACTAACCACGTGTTTGAATTACGTGCGGCATTGGGTAATGACCTCCAGAGTTCACGCACTGATATTTGATTTCGGACCACCCAGCTTGACCCGTCGACAGAAACCGCTATATCCATATATATTTTTATCGGTGTCACCACTCCGCCAATTTTGTTTTGAGTTTTCTTATTTCGTCGGCGGCATCTTGAAATTCTCGTTCTAATAGTCTTTTAGCAACGTCTAAAACTTTCCGAGTGTTTTCTCTGAATGTGGTTCCAGACATTATAGAAGAGGAGCGGTAATCCCATATAGCTACTAAATTTACGCATTGCGCGACGACCCTTCCCAATGCCACGAGCCGCGATCACCAGCCAACGATTCACATCAAAAGAATGTCCACTCTTTTTTGACGCAGGAAAAATGTCAGTCACGGAGTTACATTTTTGATTCCACTCTGCGGGCTGACTATAATATGAGCCCAGGTCACTTCCATTTAGAAATCTTTTAACGGCGTCAGACATTTTTCGACAGTTTTTTTTTTTCATCTTAGAACTCCTTCCCATGATATATTAGGTTATTAAAACACCGAGAAAAGCTTGAAATACTATAGTGTAATGTTTGTTTGTGCTTCGATAGCGTAACGGACACTATTTATAGATTACACAGGATATAATAAAGCTGTATGGTCAACAAATCAGTATGCAAATTAAATCCTTTGTCTTCAGTCTGTCATTCAACATGATATGTAAATGCATGAAGGACGTGTTCACCTACAACTAAAATTCCGGGAATAAATTGAAATTACTCAACAAATGCATCGCGCACTGTAAATTCGGACCAAAGATAGAGAAAGTATACAATATAAGGTTGTATAATCCGGGATTTTTAGAAAAAAGGTTTTTTTTTCTAGTTTTTCCCCTCTCGCTACCTTAACAAAAATTGAAATATAAACCCCCTGAAACGCTATTTCATGCATTTTGAGGGATAAACTTTGCTGACACAAAGGGTTTCAGCTTGATTTGGGCGGGGTGACATTATTGTTCGTGTGTACAATGACATACTGCCACTTACAATTTATCAAGAAGAAAAAATACGCCTCGACAGTGTTGTTCTGGCAAAGTGAATAGTACCTATCATGCTTCAACGTTCAATCATGGTTCAATCCTTGATTTGATTGCCATCTTTCTGATTGTTGGCGCCTCTGGGCATAGCCCACCACCAAGGACTGATGGATTCCATCAACTCGTCAACTTTCCTGCTGCATTTGCCGTTCTTGCAAATGTAAGGGGTAGGGTACTCAGGTATTTAGCAACAATACCAACCCCAGTGTAATTATAACACTATATCCACTAAGATAACGACTGTGTGCTGCAGACCAGACTTCACGGCACCAACGTAGCAACCAGCATAGGAGGCAGCCATCTTGAACACAGTAAACACACTATATACTTATGAGGGCGCTTTTGCACATAAACTGTGATGGCGCACTAACACAAAGTACATATATCCTACACAAA